GGCAGGTCCGCTGGTCACCTCTAGACTCCCCTATAGCACTCGACTCGACGTCGTCAAAGTACACCACGGCCCAGAGCCTTTCTAGCCACAGGACAGGCGCAAGGAACATCCACCTCCCCAAGCCAAAGCAGGTCTCTACTTTTAATTTTGTACCGCACCGCCACACGCCGCCACTTTGAGAAAACTCGATTACGAATGTCGCTCAGACCACCTTCGACCAGCCCCTCGCCCTCCCCCGGGCCTCACAACTCCAATTCACGAGCATCTCTCCAACCTCCTCCACGTGGAGCAGCGGCTGCCGCCGGTCTTGCCCCGATCTCGACGAGATCAAATGTGAGCTCTGCAGCGCGTCCAACCAGTGAGCTGTTGGGCGTAGGGTCCACCAACTTCCAGACGCCAGAGGCGGAGGCCCTTGATCAGTGGTTCGAAAACCTGCAGAACTATGAGGCTACCTTGGTCCGTTATCTCGTTCTATTAGCTGCCACCCCAATGTTGACTATCCAGATTACAGGAGGAGATGGCGGCGGCTTCGCTCGATATCAACTTTAAGGAAGAATTGAGCGCCATTGAACAATGTACGTTCATTCAGTATCTTACTCAGTGCTTCTCTGAATGTTGTCACAGGGTTTCGAGTCCTCTCGGAGGCGGAGCGTACTGCTGCCCTATACTCGCTCATCCAGCACTCGACCCAAGTTCAGATTCGTTTCTTCATCACCGTGCTTCAGCAAATGGCACGCTCCGATCCCATGACCGCCCTTCTCAGCCCTGCAGTCGGATCTTCAATGCAGTCGCAAATGGACGCTAGGCTTGCAAGCATGGGTCTCAAGTCTCCCGGCCTTCCTGGTTCTCCTGCTGTGAGGAGCTTCAGCGCCGGCTCGGGGCCTGCTGGCGTTTCGACCCGCCAATCTGTGGGTGGCGCCGACCCTTCGAGCTTCCTCTCACCCGAGTCTGCAAACAACAACGCCGGAGGGGACGCTGCTTCCACCTTGGCTCAGCAACGCGCTAGACTAAAGGCCAACGCAGCCCATCGAATCTCAGCACCGGGTACCCTGACCTCGGAATCCGGAAGGCCAGCGACGATCTGGTCCCAGACGTCCCTCACTCAAGTCGTCGAACGGGCACCGTCCCCTGCCAGCGATCTCTCTCCGTCTTCAGCTTCCTCCAACATCAGGCCCAAGAGCACGGACTTCACTGGTGTCGCAAACCAGTTCGCTAGGTCACCACGCCCGAATGCCGCTTCGGTGACTACCGACAGGGACGGCGTCGCAGAAATCGACCTCACCATGCAAGACATGCGTGTGACTGACCAGATGTCGCCCATGGTGGGTGGGAGTTGGGCATCTATGGTGAACACGCCAATGGTCCCCATGTTCACTGAGGGCAACGCCATCGGTGGTGGATCGCACAGCAACCTTGACTCCGCGGCTGTCAAGCTCTCGAACTGGAGCATGGGAAATGGCAGCGGCCGTGTCGTGTTGGACGACGCCAAGAAGTTCAGACGTGACTCCAGGGGCAACCCAGAGCGTTCAAGCAGTCTCGAGCAGCATGAGTCGGGACATAACAACAACAACAGCAACCAAGGTGGACGCAACGCCAGCGGAAACAACGCTTCCAACAATCCTCGTAACATGAATGGAGGATGGCGGAGCCCGGCGTTATCGAACGTCTCATCATCTCGCTACCAAGAATCCGACTCTGCATTCTCAGGAACCAACAACAATCATGGAGGCAACGGCGGTAACCTTGGCGGGATGGGCGGTCCCATGGGCGGATTGAACTCCGCGAACAGCAACAGCAGCTTCGGAGCTGGACTCAGCGGTCTCAGTGGTGGTCAGTTCGGCAGCGGAGGGCTTGGGAGTCCTGGAATGGGTCTCGGTATGAACGCTTTAGCTGGATACGGCGGCGGAAACTTTGGCATGCTCAACAACATGAACGGCATGGGCGGCATGGGTATGGGTATGGGAAGCGGCATGAACGCAGCCGCTGTCATGGGCATCCAACCCGGATCCATCGAAGCACAGATCCTTGCGGCGCAGCTCAGCGGTCAGCTCAACGGAGCGTTCAGTCCTGGCATGAACAGTGGCTTCTCTGCCATGGGGAGTCTTGGCGGCATGGGTATGAACATGGGCGTGCAAGGTCAACCTGGAGGGTTGGCCGGCGGACGTGGTCAGAACCGAGGCTTGGGCCCCAAGACCGCCATGAGCAGCGGCCGATCCAACGCGGGAAGCAACAGCGGTGCGACTGTTTCAAAGGACCCCGACGATATCGATCCCGAAGTTCTCAAGGATGTCCCCACGTGGTTGAGGAGCCTGCGCTTGCACAAGTACACGACGAATTTCGAGTCGATGAATTGGAAGGAGATGGTCGTTATGGACGATGCCGCTCTGGAGAAGCAAGGCGTCGCGGCGTTGGGAGCTAGGCGAAAGCTGTTGAAGCACTTTGAGGCCGTCAGGAACAAGATGGGCATCGAGCATCCCAAGGGCTTCACTGCTACGGCGTCCGATGCTGGAGATGACTGAGCGAGACGGTGGACGGACGGACTTTTTTTCTTTTGTCGAGCCCATATGCTTCGACTTCAATTTACCAGCCTTGAATGGCCTCGATTTTCATCATCATGACCTCCCTTTTCTTTCTATCAAAATTGGAACCACTGGGTGACTCAATGCCCCGTTTCTCTCATTCTGTCGCTATGATTCTGCTTCATGTATCAGCCTGATGTATTTGCTCTATAATATTCCGCGTGTTACACTCGGTCTATATCCGGGCTAAGCCAGGGGTTACAAAGCATCCATATCGATGGCTTGCCCACAACCATCGGATTCCCTGAAGGCAGTATGCTTATTCAGACAACCTACATAGTCTCTGCCTCTCGATCCTCGCATCGTCCACCCATTCATGCCTGCCATCTCAGCTCCGGCGAACATCCTTGTCACAGGCGCATCTGGCTTCCTTGCCGCCTCCTGTTGCCAGGCCCTCCTTAGGCGCGGGTTCAACGTCTATGGCACAGTGAGATCGCACGCCAAAGGCGAGTACCTCAAGAAGCTGTTTGAGAATGAGCCAAATGGTACATTCGCGTACATCATCGTTGAGGACATGCGAGTGGTGAGTAATCTCCCTCAGCCTAGCACTCTCAGTAGACAAAACAAGTCTATCCATCCTGAAGCTTGATGCGTGTGACGAAGCTGTTAAAACTATGGACGCCGTTCTGCATCTTGCCAGTCCTGTCACTGGAATATTTGGCCCAGATGTCGAACCCGAAGGTATGTCAAAACGTGATTGGTCCTATCGAGCCGTACTCAGTGTTTCCGACCCTCATCCTGTCTATAGATGCTTTCAGGCCAGCTATCAATGGTACTCTTGGCATCCTAGAAAGCGCCAAGAAGAACGGGTATGAGTCCTGACTCAAGACTATCGTCATGATGATTCTACCTAATACGCGATCCATTTGGCCTGAACAGGTCGACAGTGAAGCGCATCGTCATCACCTCGTCTATGAGCGCTGTCGCAGGCTTAAAGGACACTAATTGGAACCAAGCTGCTGTCGATGAGGTCAACAAGATCGGTAAAGCTGCCCAAGGCTTCGTGAAATATTCAGCATCGAAAGTCCTCGCTGAACGCGCCGCTTGGGACTTTATGGAGAAATACGGTGGTGGGGTTGGATTTGACATTGTGACTGTATGTCCGGCATGGGTGAGCTGAGCCTTGCTGGCTATTACTTGGTGACCCGCTTACGATACCCCGTCGCTACTCTTGCTCATAAAGATCGCTGGTGTACGTAATACTTTTAAATACCGTTGAAGTCTTCCGAGTTGATTTTATCTGGCTCCCACAGCCCAACATTCAGGAGGAAGGCGTGAGTGCCTCGAACCAGTATATGCTAGGCCCCCTCGACCCAAAGAACCGCAAGACAGGAAGCGAATTGACCGCTGGAGCGGGTTCATGCTCTGACGTCCGGGATATCGCCAACGTACATGCTGAGCTCTTGATGAAGCCTGGAGCGGGAGGTGAAAGGTTCATCGCCAGCGGAAGTAGGTCACCGGTTTTAAAATACTGCGTGAATACTCATGTTGAATGTGGGGTGGTATCTGCTAGCTCCTTTTGCCTGGAAGGATGTGTATGAGGCCCTTGACGTCCCTTTTGAGGCGTCCACAGAGGAATCTGGTCCCTTGGCGGCGGCTGACCAAACTAAACTTGTCAGGATTATGGAGAAGCCACTTTCAGATATCTTTAGGCCTTTACCGGAGACAATGAGGGATGCGGTGAAGAGTGCACGGGAGAGGGGATGGGATGTCAAGCTCAATTAAATTGATAATGTAGCTATAAATGGTGTAATAACTGGTTTGGGGTTGTGAGTTTGCGCATGACATTCCAATACGAAATATGACCCAGTCTACAAAACGAAACAATCCAAAGTATGCAATGAAAATGAGAGGAAAGAAAAAGAAACCCTCGTTTCGGAGAATCGGAAGAGGCATTTTTTTTTAGAGAGAACGGGTGGGAACTCGCCATCAAGCGAATGGCCGCTAGCCATCAAGGCCGTGTTCTCCGAACAGCGTGGGGTTTGACCCACTAAACCTCCCGTCATAGCCTCATCTTTTTAAGGGACAGACCACAGGTATTATCTCGCCATTAGCTGCCGGCTATAATGGTCTAAACCAGAGCCTGCTCTGGGTGGGAATGACCCCATATACCCCTAGGATGTCTGTTGATTCGAGGAGAATCGGAAGAGGCGGTTGTCGTGACTCATCCAAGCGTCGATGTTCGGTTTTTCCCTAACCCCAGATTTGACATCAAATCCATTCCATTTCACGGGTGGCTAGTATACCGGTAAATATAGCATCATGGGGCATAGCATAGGGTGTTACGCGCGTCAGAAAAAGCAAATAGCTGGCAGAATGCTGTCAAAGAGTCATTCCTGGGCCAAGATTACTTCCGCCTCGCCCACATCTTCCCCAAAATCCTACATCACTTGAATCAATGATTTAATGAGTTGCTAAAAAGGCCCCCACCGCGATTCGAACGCAGGACCACCCCCAATTAAGCGCAACCATGTAGTACGCGGAAATTCTCCCGAAGGGGGTATCGTACCACTAGACCATAGGGGCATATATCAGCCGTTACAGGAAATTATTACATAACGGCTTGAATGGAGCTGTCATACATGGTCCCTCCGCTTGAACAATTGCCAAGCCAATGGTATGAAAGTATATCGCGTCGCTTTCAACGACCTCCCGGCGCAAGAGCGTTCCCACCAATCACTGCCGACAAAACAGATGCAGAAACGATCTGCATTGCCTGAAACCTACTCCTAGGAGACTTTTGGTGTACGTTGGTTGAGCGGTATTCGTTGGGGTGTGACTTAGGTGATTACATTCAGAACTGAAAGTCCGCATTGCTTCTCATAGCCTGCCCATTGATTTCTATAGTCCTAGAGCACCAACGTGCGACTTAACCCGAGACACTGTTTCTGCATTTTTGTTTGCTCATTTCCCGCCTCCTACATACCAGTAGGAGGTTTCACTTGACCAGACCGCCGCGTGATCCCTCCGGCAACCTTTGTGGGTAGACGGTTGGATCACTCAAAATAGATTTCTTTCTTTGAAACCATGAAATAAACAACTATTGGGATGTAACTGGCAACTTCGCGTTCGCTCAAACTTAGACATGTCAAACACGGTTTTTCACAGAGCACACCCACATCCCATAATCGCCTCGTGACACAGTATCTCGGAACATGATAAAGACTCAAAGAAGCTAAATATTGAAACTCGTAAGGCATAAGGTAGAGGTAGCACACTTCGTACTATGTAAATCACGAAAATGGTCATATGAAAGAGCAGCCTCTTTCAGGAGGTTCATACTTTCGTCCCGGATACGATTGGTACTTGCAAGGAATATGTCAGTCGTGGTCCCTGTTATAATTGCATGGGAATCAAGTCGGCCCGCATCGAAATCCTTGTATAACTTGTTGACGTGCTGGTATGATCTCGCATCTTATTATCGCACAACAACACCGCGTATGCGCAAAGGAAGGGGGTGGCCTGGCTGTATTTACCTCGGATGTTGAAGCATTCGGGCATCTCCAGTACATCCCGTTTAATAGATCTGACTACATCTGGCCTGACATCATTCAAGCCTTCGAGGATGGTGCGCATAAAAATCGTGAGCTCGTCCAGGTGCTAGTAAGGAAGCGCATCAGTCAGACAGGTCCAGAGGAGCACCTAGAAGACCAATTCGATGTCATGGCTAGTGGTATGTGGGGGTTTCTTGCGACACCCGAGAGCTGGAAAGAGATTAATGGCTAGGAACGGAAGCGCTCCCTAGATTTAGGCAGAGTGGTCAGCTCTATGGACAGGCAATGAAAGATGTTGGAGTACCTCGCATCGTCAGACGGCAGTGAACTTCATCATCCGGTGGGATTCATTCTCCGTAACGTCTATCGCAAGGCCAAGGTCGATGAGGAGTCCATGATGATTTCCATTCGAGAAATTCACGAGGAGATTGCCAAATGAGATGTCCCGATGACGGATCCCAGTAAGCCAGAGACTTCATATACCTGTTAAGTTTGGATCTCGTCAGCGTATGAACGAAATCACGCAATGTCGACCGCGATCAATCGGAACGGATCCACACCTTGCAAGCAACCGTATGTCATGTCCATGAGCCGCTCAGCGTCTTGTGCCTCGGAAAACCTATCACCGCTGTCATCGAACACAAGACGCAAGGGGGCCCTCTCCATCTTCGACGCGCTCCTACTGTCAGCTCGTTCCCATACGTCACGGGATCTGGATATGCCGCCGCTCTAAATCCTTTCGACCCGTGTGTTGACTGCGACCCTGGCCTCCTTTCCGCTTCCCGTTAGAACTTCGATGAGGCGCCGGGATACGAGTCACAGTCCAAGGCGTTCTGGCCAATTGTGAGGGAGGCTCGGGTACTACAGTCTCAATGACCGTGCACCTAGCCGGCTGCACCGACGTCTGTCTTCAACACCCCATGACGTCTGGAAGCGGGATCCGTTGTTGGCATCCCGGAGTGTGATGCAGATCCTCCGCATAGATGAGATGAGCAACTCGTTCCACGCTGCCTGCTTTGGCGTAGAAGGAAGCCTCGTTCACCCATAGGTCATCCTGATGATTCTGCTTAATTACGAGTGGCGATTGACTGACATCGATGATGTCGTCCACGATCTCACACGCTGACCAAACGGTGATGAAACGACGGAAGTTGTAACACACAGCAACAGAGGGCGCTTCTACGCCGAGTAAGAGGACCCTGGGCTCTGGATGACGCATGTCAACCGATAGCGGACTGCTCGGTAGGATCCAATGTCTGGAGCCGCGTAGCCTCGGTTGGCTAGATAGTAAGTCACGACATCATAAGTGCGGCTTTGTAGCTTGAATGCAGTTGACCCGCATTCGAAATTCTAGCGTCGTGTCCGAGGGATCCAGGATCCAGAGAAGCAAGGCGTCCGATGCGTCCGATGCATCCAATGAAGGTAGACCAGACGGAGATTGGTGATAGAAGAGAGGTTCGGTGACGTGTAGAATGCTGCGGTCTCCCAGCGAAAGACATGACACTGATCCCGGGAAACGGAGAGAGTGTAAGAGAAGTTTCGGTCAACTTGAACGACCTTGACGGCTCGTGCGTAGCGAGCGACTTGCATGACGAGTTTCGTATAGAAGCGAGTATCGAACTTGACTTCGGCGGCGACCTTGGCGTACTTCCAGAGGACGTCGCGTCCATCGTGGTTTATCTGCTCGTTGACCCGACCGATCTTTTGATCCCTCAGTAACAGGGCTATGTCGAGGTTGAGGAGCCTCCCGCCCGGCTCATAGGTATGTTACCGGGGCTGAATGAGATCGTGTGGCAAACTTGAGGGCCTGCGGTATTGGATTTGCCGGTAGCCTCTACTCAACTTGAGTGATGGCAAGAAGTTCGACGTAGCGAATTATTGGTCTTGAGCTTTTGCTTGCCCATCGAATGACTGCTTGAGGCGTAGCTACTTTGACCCCATATGCTGAGCGTGACTTCTGACAAATTTTCTTGTTTGGGAAGTGGAATGCACAAAATTTCCCCCGTCTCATCGACAACTTTTGTGAGAGGGCTGAGCCCAAATATCTTATCGTCGGTGATCTGCTCGTATTTTGCTCCAAAGATGTCGAATGTGCCGGTAACCCGTGTCAGAAAGTTCGTATGTATAGCGCCAGTAACAGTCAGTAACATACCTATGAGTGAAGGGGGGGGGGCTGCTTGAGGTCGGGCGGCGAGATCCTGTTGTAAATGAACCGAAGTTTGGTGTTGTGGGACTTGACGAACGTACGCCCCGGAGGAAGATTACCTGTCCTGTTAGAACAGGATGCTCAGCTGTAGGATCGGCGTTTGTCGGCTTGCTCCAGTTCTCATCCACACAGAGCCCATGGTCTCGAAAGAACGCTGGAATGAGTGGCATCGACTCCACCAGAGGATTATACATGGCATGTCCACTCTTCGCTTCAACTTCACCTTTCTCGAGTACATTAATCAAGGGATCGAATCGTTGGTGACGCTCAGAGCTGATAAACGAATCGGTGTCGCGACAGGTGGCGAACGACCTGCGGAACCATCGAGGTTGACTTTGCTGGTCTCCACCAGCTCAGGGGCCTCCATTACCTTAAGACACTGAGATGCTACTATGAGGTAGGGATCTTGTTGTGGCGACTTGTTCAACTGGCTTTCACTGGTTGGCGACGAAGATGGTGGAGGAGGCAGGTATGCAGTGTAGAAGCCACCATATTTGACCTGGAAGATCGTATCATCCAGCTCCAGTTTGAGAGGGTTGTCGGGGATGCCTTCCGTTTCGTTGACTCCAGTGGAAGGGGTGGCATGTTTGAATGATAATATATCGCTCATAGTGAGATGGGGTGAACGAGGGAGTAGTTGTATTGAGGACTGACTCACCAGCGTCTAACTCAGTATTTGAATAAGACTAAATGGGGTTTGAATCTCCCTCGTGACCTTGTCGCTCTGATATATATATATGTATGTATGTATATATGTTCGTCGTCGATGAACAAAGAGGATACGGCTGTAACTTTGAAGCCGTAAATCCGTCATCCACCGTCTCGGGCAAGTTTCGAGAGGCAGTTCCCAGAACAAAAATGGCGCATAGTCAATCTTCTGCGTTGGGGCTGGAAAATCTTGACTATTCCGATCCTCCGAAGCTGTTAGCTAGCTTCTGAAGAGGGACCGAGATCAGTCAAGACCGGGCTGATGAGTCTCTCACAAAGCCATAGGCAAGAGCCGATAAAATACCCGTTACAGTCGAGAGGGCTGAGACGATGACCGCTGTGGGAAGTCGCTTCCTAGGAGACATGATCCCTACCAATGCCTAACCGTCGGGCACTGGCGGGAATGGGTGGGGTTGACATCATGGAAGATCGATTAAACATGTGCTCTCCTCGGGAGTACTGGGTTATGCTATGCCTTTTTCATCCATGCCTGGCATCTGGAAGGAGAACTGCATGGTCTGTCTGTTTGCCGGGTGAAACGGCAGCAGTGGTGGCGGTTAAGCGGATATTCCATTTATGCTACGTTCGCCCGAATCTCCCCTCTCAGGAGCCTGCTTTATACAAGGAATGCAAACTATATTTAACGGGATGAAATGAATGTCCAGTCGGGACCCGCTCCGAATACGCGTGCCTGGCTGATCGTGACATTGATTGTTTTTCAGCTTGACAAGCTCACTGTCTCTTACGACGCTGGTAAACGTCCTGATTTTCAACGGGCGTCTACGTAAGATGTTTTGCATTGGATCTAGGGGATGACCGGGCATTGGGATGTAGGGCGAGTTTATTCTCATCAGGTGATTCCTAGCCTAAATGCCACGTGCCTGACATTGTCGTCTGCAAACGCTACCCATGAGACCATGACAAGTGAAAGTCCCCAGGCTATCTTACTAGCACAGGTCCTCGTGAGTCAGTACATAGGCTAAACAGATCGCTTAGCGCAAGAACAGTCTAACCCTATTATTCCATGCAGACAATTGGTCCCCCAGTTCCACCAGCCCTGAGATTGACGTTTCTTAGCCACGTTCCCCGACCGCATGGCCGGGAACGATACCATCTAG